GAAATTCGAGTGCAAAAAAGTGTTAACTCTTGAGTTAACACCTTTTTACCTATAACGCAACACCTTTTAAAGTTTACAGATTGAAGTTCAACACGTTTTTGCACTACAAACCTTGAAGTCCGAAAAAAATTGGGTCAACACCGTTTTGCACCAAAGTCTTCAATTACCCATCACTAGAATGACGAAGATTTTGCAGATATAGGAAATTTTATGTTTCTTTCGATCACTTTTTTACTTCATACCCCTACTGGTATTATAATCGCGAAAAAAATCGAAAACGAGCTATTATGTTTTTTGAATGTTTAAACATGTACATCAAGAAAAACCATCCATAGTAATTCTATGCACCCTTTAGACATATTTGACTCACAGATTTCCCCATGCATTTCTTCTTAAAATTTGAAATGGAGAAATATTATCGCTAATTGCGTAGCTTTAGTACATACTTTTGACACATTTATCTAACAATGCCTACCAATGTAACACCACTGTAGAAACACGATAGTAATGTTTACTGGTGGAATGGTCTACCTTCAATAGGCGTGTGCTGCTCTTTGCAAATTATGTAAGAAGTACGTACCACGTGTTGAAAACGTCTATCACCACAATAACCTTCAAACACTCGCACTTTTAAAAAATATATATATGTAATTAAAAATATGAATTAAATGACAGAACTGTCAAAAAACTAACTTATGTCAAGCGCACTTGTAGTATGCACTTTGTTCCTCACTATGAGAATTAGGAGACGAACAAATACTTGACTGGTTCCTTCTACCTAGTCTGAATTCGTTGGTCGGAACTGTCGCTAGAGCAGAGGAGTCTTGGGATCGCAACATTGTCGAATAGATGTTTAATTTTTTTATTTCTTACAAAATTCGCATCACTACGGACTTGAAAGGATATGTATTCAAAATTCGACAACTTAATTGACAGAAGTCAAAAAACCTAAATTGGATCTACATTATCAAGGTCAAAAAATATTTCTGTTGGTACACAAGGTAGTAAACTAGGTCCACTGCTATTTATTTTATACATTAATGCCATTTGTAATACTATATTTTAGATTATTGTAAAATTCAAATATTTGCAGATGATACATTAATATACATATAGTTCTTACTTGGCAAAAATCATATATTGGTTAAATGTAAATAAACTAAAATTAAATACTTCTAAAACAAAATGAATGATGATAGGGAAATACCTAAATAACAATACTATCACAGTCAGGATCAATGGTGAAATAATTGAAAATGTTGAATCAATTAAATATTTAGGTAGGTATAACATATATATATATATATATATATATATATATATATATATTGATAGTAAACTGCTGAGGATCACTATGAATACATTATTTAAAAAATTGCGAAAAAAACAAATTACTTTTATAGAGCTTCTCATGGTCTTGGTATATATTCCAAAAAAATAGTTTATAATACAAGTATTCTACCCCATTTACTATATTGTACAACTATCTTGTTCACTGCCAATGAAGCTGTATCCTCAAAATGACGAGACATGCAAAATCAAGCTAAGAGTATAATATTGAACAAAAATAAGTACACCAAAATAAAATCCATGTTAAAAGAATTGCAGTCGTTGAATATAAAAAATTTCATATCTTATTTTCATATTTAAAATTAAAAATCATCTTTTGTCACAACATTCAGAACACTACATCGAATTGAATAATCATTACCACAATTACTATACAAGAAGAAATATAGATTTTCATTTACAAAATTGCAATTTTTTTTAATACAAATAGTGATAGAACCAGCAAATCAATATTTCAGAAAGGATTAGTTGAATTTAATAAACTAAATAATAATATAAAGTCTACTTTAAAGATGTTTAAAAGATAATTAAAGGAATATTTCATGGACAGTGAAAATTCTTAGAGATGAAGATTTGTTTTTCTAAATATCTGTATGTTATGTAATTGTTTAGTTTTTTAAAAGAATGTAATTATGGCAATCATGCTAAATAAATCTTAAACAAACAAAGAATAGATGGGGACTGGAAACTAATCGTATGGGCCTATTTAACTGACATGATCGATGTTATACAAATTCTTAGTGAACATCTTACTGAAAGAGCCTAACCTGTGCCAAACATAACTTTGTGTGAACAGCGTTGCGTCGGGAGTATAGAATGAACCTACTTGACGCCCTCTTTTTGTATTTCGTTTCAGATATTCGTACTCCGTCGCAGTGATGAGCATGATCGGCTACATAATCGGTCTGGGAGACAGGCACTTGGACAACGTCCTGGTGGATCTGACTAGCGGTGACGTGGTGCACATTGACTACAACGTGTGCTTCGAAAAAGGAAAGACTCTACGAGTGCCGGAAAAAGTGCCGTTCAGACTGACGCCAAACATCAAGGAAGCCCTGGGTGTGACTGGTGTTGAGGTGAGTCTTGCATGCTTTATACTTGAATGCTGTGTGATATCGTATTATTCATTGGAACTATTGGGCGTTTACGAGTAACGCTCAGAGCAATCTGTTGGATACTAAGCTGTGAAAAACACTAATGAAGAATTCAGTAATTGAGCTACATACAGGGTGATTTTTTAATGTGGGCTCGATCGATATCTCCGTTGTATCACGCATGGTATCTAAGAAAGCTGAATACAAAAATTGTAGCTGCCATCCGCAGTATGCTCGTGACCTGAAACACTTTTGTCTCTACAGGGTGATTCATAAAGTGGTGACTCAATCTTATATTTTTTTAAACGGAAATACTAAACATTTAATAGCAGATTTGGATAGGCCCTTCCAAATGATTGAATTTGATATAACACTATATGGTTTTGTTCTCTTACTTTTTCCGTTTTTTTTTTTTTTTCGAAAATTTATATAAGATGATTATGAACGAGAAATGGATTATTTCTCAAAATTTTCAAATGAAACACTATATATTTTCATACTCTTTGGTTCCCATTTTTATAAAATTTTATATGGGGTTTATGGGGGCTTGTACGACTGGTTTTTGAGTTACAGTTTACGTGTAAAACTATATCAAGGTAAATGAAAAATATGGTAATATTACTCACCCTGCAGATTTGCCATTTTTGTTCAACTGGACGGAAAAATCAAATGATAACAGATTCGTTCCCCCCAAATCAAACCGGTTTACCTTGCGTGAAATGCTTATAAAGCTAGGACTTGACAACTTTCTTTTCAAATACAACTCAAATCATTTGAGATATCTGGAAAATTTTATTATTGTATTGAAGTATACTCAAAACATTTATGTATGGAATTCTGTCTCGTTCATATGTCCACCACGGGCACGTTCGCAGCGATCGATTCGTTGAACCCAATTTTCAACGGCTCGGCCACACATTTCGACAGAAACGACCGCTATCTCTCGTTCAATATTGGCTAAGAGCTCCTCTAACGACGCCGGCTTGTTGGCATAGACCAATGATTTAATGTAGCCCCACAAAAAAAAAATCTAGAGGTGTCAAATCACACGATCTCGGCAGTCATTCTACATCTCGATATAACACGTTCACCGAATTTTGATTTCAATATATCAGGTGTTCACCCGCTTTGTGGTTTGTGGCACCGTCTTGTTGAAACCACATATCGTTAATGTCTAGCCCATCCGATTGACGAAAAAATAACGTTGCAACATGTCTTGGTAGCGATCTCCGTTGACTGTAACGTGACGGTCATTTTCACCACCCCAAAAAAAACGGCCCCTTGACACCACCGGCATGAAAATCTTACTATACAGTTATTTTTTGTGGTTGAAGTGGTGTTTCTTAAAGCACATGAGGGTTTCCACCTGACCTATAACGCATATTCTGTTTGTTGACGAAGCCGTTTAGCCAAAAATGCGCCTCATCACTGAAGATGATTTTGAGATTTTCTTGCAACATTTCTAGAGCCCAAATCGAGAACGGGCGTCACTTCAAATGATCGAACGGCTTTAGTTTCTCGAGATAACTTGATCTTATAAGGGTGCAGGCCAAGATCTCTTCGCAAAATTCGTCATAGAGCGATGCCCAATTCTTGAGAACGACGGAAGCTTGAACGACAGCAATATTCTCAGCACTTCGATTAACCCGTTATCTCACTGGGACGGTAACATCCAGCAGCGAATATGTGGACCCAAATTTTTTCACTAGACTATGAATTGTTTGTCTACTGGGACGAGAATTACGACCAAGAATTGGCGTTAACTCTTTTAAAGTTGGAGTCACCGACTCGGAATTTCGGTAGTAAATCTTAATTATTTGTAAGCGTTGTTCGTTCGTGCTCTTCACCATGATAAAAATCTTTTCCTCACTGAATATTTTGACATTGACAGTTCGGTAAATAATTTAAAGGAGCGTTCACAGTAAAAAAACAAACAAAGTTGCCAAGTTCCTATTGTAAAACCCGATATAACGTTAATAGTTTACGGTATCGAGATGTCTCAGATATATTCACATATTTGGAAATTGTTCCTTTTACTGTTATTCTCAGATTCCACTTCAGCAGAAAATGACTGCATAGTAGTGGTGCTGATGGGGAGGCGATACCTAGCAACTAGGCCACCTTTGAACCTTTTGCCCACCCCGTAGTACCAACTCGTTCTACTTGCTCCACAAGCTGTCACTCATAATTGAATCAACCAACTCGAGCGATTTGGTTGATCTTGCACCGATCTGGTGCATATACATAACATCCACTGCTCGACATAAAATTCCTAAGCTGAGATTTGAAGCCGCGAGCATTCTAGTCAACTGATTAGCAGCACGATACCATAACCACTCGGCTATTCACAAAAAATGGCTGGAATTATGTTTTTGTTTTGGATATTCCCTGATGAGATTCTGTGCTCTATTTTCCGCCTATTTGTGGCGAGAGACCATTTTAAGTCTGCTTCTAAAAAGTCGAACATGTCGTTTCATAATATTGCTCTAGGTCCTTTGACGGACTATGAACGTTTGCAACTTTTACCTATCAGTGAGATAGCAATTAAAACCAATATTGGATCAAAATTTTATTACATTTGCAAATTTTGTGGATTGAAATACGTATCACATTTATTTTACAATATACATAAATATACATCGCTTCACACAAATACTTGTACAAATATTATAAATTCAACTTGTAACAATTTTATCAACCCAATCAAATCGCGAGTGTTGTATAATTACTTTTTTCTTTGACTCGACAACGTGAACAAACTAAATACAAGCGGTTGACAAGTCTACTTACGATACATGTTTATAACTTTTATCGACTATCGTACCATTTGTATCTAAAGTCGTAGTAACAACCTTCCTAATGATATTTTCACTGCTCATTGCATTTCTCTCCACTGCACCCTAATAGTCTGCTTTGTACATATACACATTTTCCTTAATACGATCCCTTTATCTTCACTTAATACTTATAACGGTTTCATATGTAGAATCGTACCTTCCTTTGCTACAATGATTAGCAAAAAATACTGCTTTGTCTTGTTTTTTATTCATCTCCGAGGATTCATTTTTCTCGCTGTCGGCGATATTGTTCATCGAACCGCGTTTGCTAGGCACGTGGTCAGTAATATACCTGCAAGTAGAAGTGGAAATATTTTAAAGTGTTTTTTTAAGTTCACCCATTAACATTTTTTAAAGGAATATTTTTAATATTAGCTACGTTCTAACAAATGCTTGGTAAGAGGGAGGTAGTGAAGGAGACAGCTTGAGGCTGTCAGGAGCTGCTCAAAGTCATGTGTAGTCTATGAACCTTTTGGGTTGCTCGGTTAGGCGTCTTGGAGAACTAATGTCCATGCTAGACTTACTGCTACTTTACGAGATCTATTATTATCCGGCAGTCTGTATTCACTTGCCAAAAGAAGGCCATATTAGTTACTGTGACATAAGTACGTATACATACCTTGGGCTGTCGTCCGGCGTTCGGCACTTGAGCAGACAGAGAAAGGCCTTCCTGAAGTTCGTATTTTTCCATGCGTAGATGAGTGGATTCATGCTAGAATTGGCCATAGCTAAATTAAGCGAGATCTCGTACACGTTGGGTACTAATTCTTGGATGTATAGCGTGATTACGAAATACGGTATCCAGCTTATGGTGAAACAGCCTAGGATCATCAGCGTCAACTAGAAAAAATAATTGTCAAAAATTGAGGCTGTAGACATACTGTCATACCTATCAGGAAGATTGTGTCGCAGGCACATTATCAATAAAGGTGACAATATGTTACCCTTATATGGCTAGAAGGGAGGTACGCCTTTTGTGCAAAAATATTTCATTTCATTTCTTTATTAGTTCTCTTAGACCATAATAAGATGATATAGAACACGTCAATACAAACAATAGTGTAAAAAATATACAGAAGATAAATAAATAAGTAGATAACACACAGTCAAAATCAACAAACAATGAAATATAAAACAAACATTTAACTAAAAACAAACATTGAAAAAACGTGGAAGGCACAGATTAAAATATCGCTATGTGTTAACTATATAAATAAAATAAATAAAATTCAAAAAACATAGAATATAAATGTATGTACCAACATACCATCGTACTATTAATATAGTACCATATACAGGGTGTTCCATAATTATTGCGACAAAATGATAGGGGTTGTAGAGGGCATAAAAATATGCAATTTTGCCTTATAAACCCCTGTTCGTAAATATGCCGTTTGAGCACTACAGTTAATTTTACCTTAAGAGCTCATAGGAGAAACAAAAAATTCACCAGCTGCAAAATGTTCGTCTAGCACATTTCATGGTCTCGCCGGTTTGTAGAAAAAGCCTGCTGTGTTTACATTTTTGTTATCGTACACCCGTACCACCTTTTAAAAGTCCAAGCCATGGGTCCAGCAGACTATCTGCCGCGTCGACGTTTTTGTCGTTGGTGGCTGCAGCAGGAGTTGAGGCAACCAAACTTTGGTCGCTACGTTTTGTTCACTGACGAGTCCTGTTTCACAAAGGAAGGTTATTTTAATAGCCGTAACAGTCACATTTGGGATGAAGAAAACCCTCATGCCATAGCCATCCATAGAGACCAACATAGTTTTCTATTAACATCTGGTGCGGCATTGTGGACGAGCATATCATCGGGCCATATTTGCTTCCACCACGTTTGGATGGGCATGCTTATGGTCGATTCTTACAGCATGTGCTACCGGAACTATTAGAAAATGTGCCACTGAACATAAGAGCCAACACGTGGTTTCAACACGATGGCGCTCCAGCCCACTTTTCTTTACAAGTGCGGCAGTTTTTGGACGACAAATTTCCAAATAGGTGGATAGGCCGAGGTGGCCCTGTGCCTTGGCCTGCGCGGTCACTTGACCTGACTCCACTGGATTATTTTATCTGGAGCTATCTGAAAGCTTTAGTGTACGAAACTCCTGTTCCCAACCAACAAGAGCTACTGGGAAGAGTGATGGCCGCGTCCGCACATGTTCAGGACATACCGGGGGTATGCCACAGAGTTCGCCGATCATTGAACAATCGTGCACAGGTGTGTATTGAGCAAGGTGGAGGACACTTTGAGCAATTACTGTAGGTAAGCTGTTTCAAGAAACTGATCTTTTTTTTTGCTGCAGCCCAAACGGCATGTTTCCGAACAGGGGTTTATAAGGAAAAATTGTTCATTTTGATGCCCTCTACAACCCCTATCATTTTGTCGCAATAATTATGGAACACCCTGTATAGATAATCCTGCTCGTTGGTGCATCATAAGATTTTCTTTCCTTGTTTGGTTCTATGATCTAATGTAATTATGGTAGTAGACATTATTATTGTGGCTCACATCTATTCATATTCTTCTGTAAGCTCCACTCCTGAGACAGTCTTTTAGCTTGCAGGCAGATATATTATATTTGAGATACGCTGCTTAAAGAGTTGCACTATCAAATAGATTGGTACCTAATTCTGCCTATTGCACGGCGACTTCACAGAAGGTGTTACTTCCGGCTTCTTGCCCCAACTTAGGCATCTGGATAAGCAGTAAGCAGAATCCAATACTTGCAACGTAACTTGATTCTTAGAGGAGGTTATTATAGTTTTGTGCCTTTTTATCCGACTGCTTCAGAAGCAAGGTTATGTTTTTCGTGTATGGATAAGAATAATTCAATTTCACGGGGTACGACGACTTGATGGACTTTGGTATACGAGGTGTTGTTAGATACATTTTAGCAGCGCGATTTACAGTAAATTGATGATTTTTAATCGAAAATATCAACTTGATTTGTTTAGACAGTTTCAGTGACAATGTCGATTAATCTAACACTTCCTCCTGAACATACTGTAGGTGTCAACGTTCCCAGACTGGCTGATTCTGCAATCGTTAGCTTCATATTACTAATAATAGACTTCAAGATCTCAATAGTTGCTCTTAAAGGACAAAACTGCGAGACATAAACATGTCTTCCGCTTCTTACCTGGAATGATTTTGAGTCTCTGGTAGACACGCACATAACTTGTCCATCTTGGGAGCTAGTAGTTTCCCGTATCCGTCTGACGTGTCCGTTCGCCTCGCGACATATCCTCGCGTAAAGTAACAGCATGGCTGTCCATATGAGTGCAAACGTGGGACACACCACCCAGGCGAGGAAATTGTGCGGCACCACGTGGACCAACTCGCATCTGACACCCTCGTGCCAATCGTTCCACATTAGGGGAACCGAGGCCATTGTCGTTGCTGTCACCCAGCTGCAATACATTAAATATAAAAATATATATAACACAACCTTAAGGATCAGTATTAGGGCCGATCCTATTCTTAGTCCATATCAACGTTTTATTAAACTTGAGCATAAATTATAAAATGGTAAAAAAAGTTTTTGCGGACGCTACCACAATACTTTGACAAGACAAGCATTATGAATGGACTTGAGATAAAAATTGTGAGTTATATACAATTGATCAAAAAAATGGTGTGACATTTGCTCGACTTTCAATGTTAATAAGAGAAAATGTGTGACATTTAAATGCTTGATTCTATAAATTCAAAAAATGAAATAATACACGCTTACTCAACTAGCAAAGATTTCCGTATTATAGGAACAATTAGTTACAACGTAGGGAAAAGTACAGCCTTAAACAGTTACTTTGCCATGTTTGAAAGTAGATTGGTGTGTTGTTTAATTCAATTCACCTACTTAAGCTGTATGTAATTATATCATAGTTTGGTCTTAAGTGAGTTTCATTTAGAATGATTGAATTCTTCAGACAATAAGGCATATTTCTCTATCCATCTATCTATTTTTTATTACAGTTCACTTTACTGGACAAAATCCAAAACACGCAGTAATTTTTCTCCTTTTTGCTAATTCTATTTTCGCTTACTCATTATTGATATTTTTTCCTAATATTCCTATTTTTATAAATATTTTGGGATGTTTCATATTGCACTAAGTCACAAATAGTGGTTGTAAACATGAATGAAGAAACTTAAAGTAAAAATCTACGAGGACAAACACATTCCAGCTGCCAGAGAATTTTTAATGTAGTAAGGCTATTTTTAGTTTGGTGATGTGGTATCATAAATTCGATAGGAGAATATAGAGATGGAACATGTTCATTAATATTAATGATCACAAAAAAGCAACAACAAAATCATGTATACCATTTTTTCTTTCATTAAGTGGTCGTACTGGAAAATCATAGCTTGTAAATCAAATTCTAAATAGAAATATATGCGTGAATTTAGAATTCGGTTAAATTGTAACGCGCTTATCATTACTTAACACAAATGAAAGTAAGCTGCGTTTGAGTGAATAGATTATCTTCTTGTTTTACTCATATCTCAAAAAATTAGATATTAGGGGTATGTTATATAGGAATATTTCAACACAGTCATGCATGTAGCTCATTTTCTGTTTTATTTTTCGCTAGTATCTTTCCTGAAGTAAAACTTCGTTTATTTGCTTATATCAGATTTTGAAACTTCCGTAGATACTCCTATTCAGGCATTTATAGTTGATAGCTGCATGGAGGTAACTTGTACGCTCTAGCGGTAAATGTTAGATCAATTTGATATCAAGCTTGATTTGATATTAGATTGTCACTGAAATTAATACTGCAGCACTTCAGTTATCTGGATGCACCCTATGTTTGCAAATCCTACAAATAACTGCCAATCAAATTTATTTCCGGATTTTATTTTGCTAATATGTTTGTCAATGTGTGCATCTATATTTTTACTGCACGTGACCTTCAGAGTTATAAGCGGATGCAGAATAGGGTAAACTCTGGATTTTTATCAAAAAAATCAAATATTAGATTGTCCCTTTTTGCTACAATAGAGGTCACAACCCTCGTAATCCTCCAACTCGATCGCACACTGATAATGCTCCTTACAATCTTTTATCAACATATTTATGGTGTATCTCGAAACAGAGTAATCTAAAAACGCCTGTTAGTCTACTTGTGCTTAGGCCATACAGCAATTGCAAAAACTTATCTCCTGATGCTTTCACCACAATTAAACTATAACTCATATAACGCCTTGGTAAAATTCTCATGGGTTGTGATCAAAACAAAAGCTCAAAATTATTGCTCATACCAACCTACCTTGCTGCTATGAAAATGCAGACTCTCTTCTTGGTCATGAAGCTACCATAATGCAGCGGATAAACGATGGCCACATATCTATCCATAGCTATTAACAGCAAATTGGTAATGGAACTAGAACATGCAAAAGAGGTAAACACGAAGCGAAGTAGGCAGCTGGTCTTGCCGCTGCCGAAGTCCTCGCCTATCATATAGAACAGCATGTGATACGGGATAGAAAAACCCACCAACAGGTCGCCTATCTGAAAATATGAGAATACTAATCAAATAAATTACAATCGTTGTGTTTGAAAAAAAAATAGTTGTAAACTTTGAACATGATAATTTATTTTAGGATTATTGTACTTTACATTCAGTGGCTTTTCACGGTATGGTGGTCACTTAAATATTTAATAACAATAATAAATGATCGTTAATCATTCAAGGTAACTTAAGAGAAAAAAAAATAATCAATGCAATGACAAAATGATGAAAGACGTAGTTCAGCCTAAGCTGCTTTTCAACTAAAGCCATATACAAAATATATAAAAAATAATATACAATAAAAAATAGGACATCAACAATACTATTTTTATAAATGCACAATCACGCGAAAAAAGAACAAGGCGACATAAAAAGAAATATGCTGAAGCATTATCCTTCAAAACGTAGCGAGCTCTCGTTATATATTAGGCCTTAGTTCGTGCAGGAGGTCAGCTTTCAGTGTTTTTTTTTAATTGCAAAGGCTTAGATTTTTGAGATATATTGCCAAGCTGTTTTATAGTTTCGCAGCATTGTCTGAATAACTACGCTTACAGATGTTTCTGTTCTGTTTAAGAATTTAGTAACTTCTGTTCTGATTCACAGTGTTCCGTTAGCTTTTTTGCACATCTTTGATGTCTCAATATCCTATTTAGTTGTAAAAAATCCCCAAATCAAATATGCTTGTTCAAAGGATGAACTTACAAATCTGGCAAATATCAATTTTCAAGCTTTCTCTCTTTAAACTGATTGCAAAATTGATCTGTTTTCTTCCATGGCTACCGATTCACACAATGTTCAACATAGGATCAGATAGGATCAGCAAATAGCAGAAATAAATGAAACAGAGTTAAATGAGGACAACAATACCATATGGTTCTCTTTCATCTTGTGTCTGGAAGTATTTATGAACTAATAGTTATACAGTGACATCAAGGTATCCTGTACTTAATACAAGTACGTGCCCTGCTTGAAAAGTTTAGAAGTCTTGACTTAGAAAGTCGTTTTCATCGACGAATCTAGACACTTTCTAGAAAAGTTTTTTTAACAAAGGGCTTTGAATAACGTATGGAGTGTAAACGTACAACCATACGAAAGGAATCCTGTGTAATCTGGATCTGATCTTACATTTTTTGCAATCTAAATATGTTGTTTAAGACAAACAGCTTTGGATTCAATCAATAATCTTTGAATATTTACAAATGCATTGAAAGTAAGAATTAATCTGTGCCCCTGAAAAGCTACACGTCCTTCAATTCTCGTACAACATCTAGCATAAACATATAAAAATCAACTTTCCCTGAAACTAACCTTGAAAGGTCATTGTCTCGATCAACATGACACCTCCCAACACCTTTAAACGGAATATTTCTTTTAGCATACTGATTCTCCGAGTTTGTGGTGTGAGAATTGCAATTGACTCATTCGCCATTTTGCAAATGAGGCAAACTGTATCCCCCTATTTCTCAGAAACTTAATCATAGGATTGCTTTGGTCCCAAGGACACTTTTATTCGGGAAGTCAAGAAATATATCGTACTGAAATTTTAAACAAATCGACTGAGACCCATTTTGCGTATGTTTTGAGCCTGGTCCTTTTTACGTCTCTTCGCAGTGTGGTTCAGACTTGATCCTGGCGTACTGGACATATATTCACAATTCTCTATACAGATGAGTGTGAAATATCCTATTCCCAACGTTGAGTACAAAAAGTCATTAGAATAATGAAGTTCGTAGTTTAAATTGTGTTTATACAAATGTGGCATTTGCGTGACTAATTTAACGAAAAGCTGCAGCTTTACATAATTACCGTTAGATACATGTCAATTTTTGAGCTTATTGTCCCTCTGGATTCATTCCGTCATGTAGTGGAACGATGATTCCCAGCAGTAAAAGTTCATTTAAATCGCTTTGGATATAGTGACATGATCCGCATCATATAGATAACGTCGTCTAATTTCGGTTTGGAGCATTTTAATTAATTGGGTTACTGAAAGACATACGATGTGATATATCTTTCGTTAGAAATGTATATAGAAACAACGCACGAACACAAAATGCATAAACGATGTTCGAGATGCATTTTTAATTGCGTCCCCCATATTATTATAGAACACATTGTCTAAGCATATAACAATAAAAAAATATTAAAAGTAACAACATAGTGCTAGCTAGCTTGTTAAATGTTATAAAAATCCAGGCAATAATAATGTGGGAAATTTAGTCACAATCACACATCATCATGGAAGCTTTTTATTTTCACAATTAGAAAAATCACAGTTGTACGGTCTACTGTGCTTGAATGATTGAGTAAATGTTTGATTTTGATTGAAGCTGACACTCAATTTATTTTACACTGTATACTTCCTTTATGAAAAAAATACGTTTTTTATTATTAAATAAACGCATCAGAACAAATTTAACGTCAATTTATCAACTCGGTTTTACTGAATACTTTCATACATCTTGATCGTCTTTGCTCCTAAATATCTGTATTTATGTTGTATTATTGATTAACGAGATGCCGTAGCTATTTACTATAAATAATGTCAAAAGGTTAGCGTCTCCTAGATGGCGCTGACTATATGCTCATAGGATTAACTACAGCGCCAACTGTGAGGCACTAACCTTTCTAAAGTATATAGACACAGCTGTTACAAATTCTCATAGATGACCGGATATTGGTAGGTTTATACATAAGCTTTAAGAAATCAAAAGAATGAGTTTAAAGATGCGTCTAATATATTCTGCGTGTTGATTGAAAATGCTCCATTGTTAAATTCCGTTTTTGACTTCCTAGAATTTTTGAACAATCTCTTTGCTTAAAAACGCATATGATGTACTGATGATTCTGTTAGTGGATTTCGATGCAACCTTATACATTGATAATTACTGCCATCAAGACTACACGGTCAATAAATATCGCATTCCATGATAAATACTGACCGATCACATTAAACATTAAGCGTGTGACATTCGACCGAGGAAGTCGCCTTTTAGTATTGTATCACCTTTCTGAGGCTAATTTGGATACATAGACGACTAAGTACCAACTAACTACGCTGACTATTAGTTCAATTTGGTACTAACCGCTAAGCTGAATACAAAATAGTTAGCCATCATCGAAGAGAGCCGTTTGCTGAGTAATATGGCGAGTATGGTGAGCACGTTTCCAAGCACTGTTACCACTGTGGTGGTGATGCAGACGCACAACCACAAGACGGTGCCGCAATAGTTGCATTGCTGTTGCTCGATAGTGTCTGATAAGACACTGCTAGTTTCCATTAAGTCTCATACATCTTCAGGCATCTGAAACGTAAAATGTGCATTACTAATTTTCTAGTATTCCTATATTCAAGTTTTTACATGCATCTTGTAAACTAGTAAAAACACTGGTGAACAAAATTAAAATAATTTTTTGTGACATGGACAAAACAAGGTGATTATTATGTAAAACGTACCCAAACAGCAGGAAATAGCATTCGATTTTTTCTATCACCCACGGATTTCTTGCAAGAAGGCAGTTTATTTGCTGCTTATAGGTACTCGTAAAATATAGGGATATGTGTGTAAGACTACTAATAAACACTCGAATAGACATTAATCTCAGAATGTTGTTGTCGATGTTTTACGGCGATATGTTGCGCCTGAATTATCTCTTAACAATGTCCAACAATAATCAGCAAGCAAATTGACACTCCATTTGCCTTGATACCGTTTTTCCATAGCAGAAATGACTTGGTGGAACCGTTTACCATGTTCATCACTTACTGCACCTAAATTTTCCGGAAAAAACGAGATGAGAATCCAAAAAGTGAATGTTTACATGTTACATCCCATTCCTTTATAAGAATTAATTAGTTCACTCACAATATCTTTATAATTGTCCGCCTTCACATTGTCTAAAAGATTTGCAGTAACTGATTCAAAAGCATTCCAAGCTCGTAATTCAGTTTGATTTAGAGCACTGTCAAATACATCATCCTTCATGATTTTCCGTATTTGTGGACCCAAGAATATGCCCCCTTTAAATTTGTCTCACTAATTCTCGGAAATGTTTCTTCCATTTCGATCCATAGCTTTCACAACTTAATATGCAAAGGTGGAAGCAACACGTTTTTGGGATCAACTAGTGGTTTCTGAGCAATGTTTTTGAGGCCCGGAGTTAAAACCTGACGTATTGGCCACTCCTTCTGTTCATAATGACGATCTCGCGCACGACTGTCCCATTCACAAAGAAAACAACAATATTTGGTATATCCCAGTTGCATTCCAAGAAGGGCTATTACCTTTAAATCTGCACATATGGTTCATCCATATTCATTATAACGGATATGCTCTAACAGAACTCGCATATTTTCATATGATTCCTTCATATGAACTGCGTGCGGTATAGGTACAGATGGATATTTATTACCGTTGTGTACCAATACGAGGGATGTCTTTTAAGTTTTGCATATGGAAATAAAACAACACGGTAGCTAGTTTTAAATGACTTTATTGTTTTTCGAAGTATTCTCCACGAAGATTAATACACATCTGCATGCGCTCCAACCAATTTTCGAAGCACTTATTCCACTCGTTTGCTGGCAGATCCAAAACGGCATTTCTGAATGCGTCAACTGGAACCTTTGACCACGCAGTCTGTTTTTAATTTTCGGGAAAGTAAAAAAATCGTTAGGACTTAGATCTGGACTATATGGAGGATGTTCCAATAATTCCACGTTTTCTTCCGTTAAATACTGCCTTGTTTTTTGGGCTGTGTGCGCGCTTGCATTGTCTTGGTGGAGGATGATTCTTCTTCCGGGGTTGATTTTTCGAAGCTCGGTGATAACTTTTGGCAAACAAATGGTGGTATACCAATCCGCAGTAACAGTTCTTTGCTCATTAAGAGGAATTGTTGCAATATGACCCGCTTTTGACACAAATGTCGCGACCATCTTTTCCGAAACACTTCAAGAACGGATGACTTTTGTTGGCTTTTCTTCACCTTGGAACACCCAAACAGCCGACTGTCGTTTATTTTCTGGTTCATAACAGTAAATCCACGATTCATCACCACTAACAATGCTGTACACATTTTTTGAGTTTCCGGAATTGAAACGGTCCAGCGTTTTTTGACACCAATTAACTGGCTGCTTTCTGCTCTTCAGTCAACAGGTGGGGTATCCAACGAGAAACTAATTTTCTTACTCCTAATTCTTCATGTAAAATTTTTTGAATTGAGGTCTTTGAGATCTTCAAGGACGTCTCAATCTCACGATATGTCACATGTCTATCTTCAATGATGGGTTTGCGCACAGCATCGACGTTTTCCTGGGTGACTGCCGTTTTTGGTGCACCCACCCTAGGATCGTCCACGTTTGAATTCTCCATACCAACCGGAAATTGTCGACTGATGTGGCTTCATTGCCGAAAACAGACAGTAACTCAGCAAGGCATTCTTGTTGCGATAATTGTCTCTGATAAATTATGGCGCGAAAATGTTCTCGGTTGAGTTCCATTTTTCTAATGACTTGGTGACACTTAAAAATTCACTGTAGTGAGAACACTGCATGTATTGTTGTGAAACTTTGAATTTGAGTTTACTAAAGAGTGAGGTTAAGATTCAGTACCAATGTTCGATCCGCGCGGCCTACTATGTTTCTACATGCAAAACTTAAAAGACATCCCTCTCACCGCTTTTAAACTAAGCTTGGAGGAATCAAAGAATAGGCGCCAATCATTTGGATCATGTTTCTGTCCTAACGCGTCAAACAAATTGTTGACATCAGAGCAATATATCAACTCCCTTTCCTCACGGAAACAGTGTGTGACGTCTTGTTGCCGTTTTCGGTAAAAAGTAATGTTAACATCACCGTGGAGAAGATTCCATCACTTTAATCTTGATGCTAAAAGTTCTGACTAGGATTTTGACCGATTTAATTGTCGAACGAAGTCATTAAGTTCGCCCTGTGTGATCAAATGCGACGCTTTTGAACATTCTGGCAGGTCAAACCAAGGATCGGAAATTTTTACGCTTGCTGCACCATCACTTTCAGAATCGATGGAGTCGACTTTTTCATCCAAAGACCAAGATTCTGGTGGAACTGGGACATAAAGTTGATCACTATGCTTAACGGGTCGTAAAGCTGATGGTAAATTAAAAAACTTAACAGTATGTTTCTATTTTGGTCCAATACCTTTAACATTTGTGAGGCAAAAATAGCAATCAGTAGTATGGTCTCTCGGTTCTCTCCAAACCACTGGTACCGCAAAGGGCATTTTACGATTGTCGCCTCTTAACCAACCTGTTAGCGACATTACACCAATCTTACAACATAGGTTTATGAGCGACCCATAGTTTATCTTGGTCGCCAACTTTAATTCCAAAATAAAGTTCGTATGCTTTCAACTTAAGAGAAGTAAAAGTACGTTTTTGGGATTTAAAAGTTAGCTCTCCGCAGACATAATAAAACTGTTTGCAGTATTTACACAATTTCTGGGCATTGCCCATAAAGCTAGTCTGGATCACAATAAACTAAAAACAACACACCGTTTTAACAGAAATTAACAGTACTCAGAACATCTCAGTACTCTTCAACACAGAAAACGTAACTGACTCGGATGATATTAGTCTACTAATAAACATGGAGCTCGGATATAATGAACAGGAATAGACAGGTCTTAACATTATACATGTGCGTCATCGCATAAATTCTGTTTTTAGATTTGATTTAAGGGTCTCAAAATACAATTGTCATGTTACAAATTCTGTGTTTATCAGTGTAATATCTCCTGCTATCCTAATAATGTACATTGAATTTACAACAAATGTGATATACTTGTTTACTGTAGGATCAATAATTTAGGTGCTACAGAGTATCTTAGTTATTTTCAAAAAATACAAAAAGCCCGACTGCACCAACTGAAAAAAACGCCTACTGGCGGGAAAGTATTGTAATCGCGTAAAATTTAGAAAGAGGCAAAGGTCAGGGAAATATTGTTGAATTTTGAAATTGCGATATTTGGTTGTTTGGATGTTATGTGACGTGTATATGACCAGAAGCCATATCACTTAGTTTGTATGAATGTATGCATGTCTGTCTACCAGTCCGCTAATCCGTGACTCCTCTAGAACTCTAAAAGTGAGACTCAGATTTTGATAAAATTTTGACATATGCTTGAAACGAACTTATCTCATCATAGAATCGCTTTATCCTCGGAATGAGTACTGGCATCTTGCTTTTGGATGTCTCAAAAGCCTTTGACAAGGTGTGGCACGTGGGCCTCCTTTATAAACTAATCCAAAAGGGCTTTCCTTTTTGGCTTCTAAAATTAATCAAATCCTTTCTTGAAGGAAGGAAGTTTCGGATCAAAATTAACAATGTTTTGTCAACAACACGGCCATTATGAGCCGGTGTTCCTCAGGGTTCGGTCCTAGGGCCAATCCTTTATTCGCTTTTTATCCATGATGTTCCTTGCCCCAGCAATTGTGAAGTCTACCTCTATGCTGACGACACTGCACTTGTCGCCCAGTTGTGTACTGGTGATCTGGTTCACGATGGGTTGCAGAGTGCGGTGGAAGAAGTACTAGAGTGGGCGGAACGGTGGCTGATTAAAATTAATCATTCGAAAACGCAGGCTATTTATTGTACCAAAAATCGTCGCGCAGACCCCAGCAGAGGTTTCTGTAGACGGCAATCGTGTACCATGGACAAATTCTGCCAAGCACCTCGGTGTCACCCTTCATAAAGGCATGACCTGGCGAAAACATACAGCAGCCTTGAAAACAAAATTCCAAATTGCGTTTCGGCAACTATATCATTTGTTATGTAGATCCTCCAAATTGTGTTTGATAAACAAAGTTCGACTATATAAAATGATTATTAGACCAGCCATTACTTATGCATGTGCGGCTTGGTGTTTTCTTGCCAAGACACACATGCAAAGTTTTCAAGTACTGCAAAGTAGAACTTTGCGAACAATTTGCAATGCTCCATGGTATGTCTCAAACGAGACACTAGGCAGAGACCTTGACATTCCTTACTTGAGGGATTATGACAAGCTTCAGGCGCAGCGGCGTTATAGTCAAGCGGAATCGCACAGCAACCCTCCGATGCGTCAAGTGGACTACACAGTGGAGCAAGTTCGTCGGCCACGACTCGCACTGTAATCAAAAATTTGCGCGAACTCGTAAAATTAAAATTACACTCTAACAAAACCGAATCAAAATTTGTTTAGTTCACCTCAAAATTAATACGCGTATCAAGTCAAAAAGCCCAGGTGTTTCCACTTAAACTAACCACTTCTGTTTTTCTTTGCTCTTC